TGGGAGACCCAGAAAAAGCTCCTGGCTTTGGATCGCCTCAGAACAGGCTGCTGTGGCCACTTGCGGAGTGAAGCAGCAGTTGGAAGATCCTTCTCTCTGTAGCCTCGGACTGGCCCAGCTCTGGCCACTTTTACTCATTTGGGGAATGAGCCAGAGGACAGAAGGGTCTGTCTTTCCTCCTTTCTTTGCATTTAAAAAAATAAATCTTTAACAAATAATACATGTTAAGTTATTTATATTACACCAGAATTCTTTTAAAGAGGAACTGAAGACAACTCTATGGAGGAAACACCACACACAGCGCACAATCCATGGCGCAGCTGGCACCCATTTGGTGTCCTCCAAGTCCCCTGCCATGGTCTGCCTGGAGAGGGCCAGGCTGAAGGCCTAGTCCCAAGATCCTCTTCCCAATTCAGATGCCAATCATAAGCTACAAATGGCTCTGTGTTTCTGACAGACTAGCTGTAAATCACGGTCCTCACAAACCTCATACTCACAGAGCTCAGGGAAACACACTGACACAATAATCAAATACATACATGCAGCCAGATTTCACATCCCCTTTGAAAGACCACTCCAAACCCCATGGTGACAGGGCTTTCCAGAAGCATCATTCTGTGCATATAGCTCATTAAATCACTGACTGCTGCCGGTCAGCTTAGCCACTGCCAGTTTGGAGAAGGAGTTGAAAAGTCCCAGTCCTCCGATTCTGTCTAGGCCTTTCCCAAAGCTATTAGAAGCAATCGACTTAAGCACACAAGAAGGTTGGAGACCACAAGGGTTTTTTTTTTTTTTAAAGATTTATTTTTATTATTTTTTCATTGGAAAGGCGGATATACAGAGAGGAGAGACAGAGAGGAAGTTCTTCCGTCCGATGATTCACTCCCCAAGTGAGCGCAACGGGTCGATACTGCGCCGATCCGAAGCCAGGAGCCTCTTCCGGGTCTCCCACGCGGGTGCAGGGTCCCAAAGCTTTGGGCCATCCTCGACTGCTTTCCCGGGCCACTGGCAGGGAGCTGGAAGGGAAGCGGGGCTGCCGGGATTAGAACCGGCGCCCATATGGGATCCCGGGTGTGCAAGGCGAGGACCTTTAACCACTTGCGCCACCGCGCCGGGCCCCGACCACAAGGGTTTTAAGGACTATATACCAAGAAACAGGAGCCAAATACATAATTCACAATACCACAATCAAAATACTACAAAACGTATGTAACTCCTATCCCAACAGGTGGAGGCAAGAGTATCCACAAAGCTTAACATAACAAACGCCAGCAACAAAAAATAAACTAGTTAACAATTAAATTCAAATAATTCGGACCCAGCGCGATGGCACAGTGGTTAAGGTCCTCAATCCCATATGGGCGCCTCGATCCCGATCCCATATGGGCGCCGGTTCTAATCCCGGCAGCCCCACTTCCCATCCAGCTCCCTGCCTGTGGCCCGGGAAAGAAGTCCAGGATGGCCCAAAGCTTTGGGACCCTGCACCCGCGTGGGAGACCTAATAAAAGAGGCTCCTGGCTTCGGATCGGCATTAACATTGACCATTGCACTCACTTGGGGAGTGAATCATCGGACGGAAGATCTTCCTCTCTGTCTCTCCTCTCTGTATATGCGCCTTTCCAATAAAAATAATATAAACAAATCTTTAAAAAAAAATCAAATAATTCAAATGGCTCTTTAACATACAAAACAGCTAAGAAAGCTAAGAGATCAAGAGACAAATAGGGAAAGTGAGTGTTCCTAGCTGCTGGCAAACCTCTCCAAATGCTCCCACCCAGGCCAGGGCTCCAGAGCAGTCTTCATGGTGGGTGGTGGGAAATGGCTGGTCAGGCTGCCACAGTCTGCATCGGAGCAGGAAGCTGGCAGCAGGAAGCAGGGGCAGGAACAACAGAGCCCAGGCACCTTAACGCGGAATGCACAAGTCAACTCTTGCTCCATCAGAGCTCTCACCTTCCTGTTAATACTGACAAGGATCTGAGGTCTGCGACGGACAGGCCTTTGTCACACAGCAGGCTGGGTTCTACCCGACATGACTGCGCTCCAGTCCATCCAGGGTTCCTGCTACTACACCAGCAGGCAGCACAGCACAGCCCTAACACCTGCGTCCCCACCAACACCCCGCACACCTGAGGCCAGGCCTGGCCCGGGCACCGTAGAGTTCTGTCTCTTCCTCACCCTACCGCTCTGTCTTTAAATAAGTAAATGTTTTTTTTTTTTTAATAAAAAAAGTTTAACAACACCCTAAGTACTAAGAATCCCAGATTGAACTGGTGTAAAACACTGTGGAGAGCAATTCAAAAAATATTTCTTTAACCAAGCAAAAGCATTTCTAGACATCCATAATTGCACTGTCTCATATCTTAAGTAGAAACACAGAAGGATATTCATGGAAAAGCCTAAGGATTTAGAGAGCTTCAGCGAAGTGAGAGAAAAGGACCAGTGAATCAATGGGAGACAACGACACCGTAACAAATCATGTCCCCGTTTTATACACAATGTAGCCTCACAATCTCTTTTAAACCTTATTTATCAGATATCTGAAGCCTTACTCCTCTGGCTGTAGAAGATGACAGGGATCAACTACTACAAATCTAGTCTTGATATCATCAGCCTATCTGGTCACTCAGACCACCAGGACCTAAGATTTTCTATGCATAATCTCTTCTCTCCCGGAAGACCCAAAGCTAAGCACATGGTATGTTCCAGTAATTTTCATTTATTCCCATGGGTTTAAATAATGCCTTAGATATACAAACGCCTTAATTTATTTCACTTGTTTCCAAACTCCAATTCTCAACTCTCTAGAACTAATTCTAATTTGTTCCTTCCATTTTTGCCATTGCGAAAAGTTATGTGAAAAGTTATGTCGTTACTCATACCAGTAATCTGAAATTGGTCCCTTTTTAACCAACAGCCAGCCCACCTACTCCAAATCGCAGCCTACTTCCCAAACGGATCTGGAAACTCCACCCTGAGCCATCACTGACAGCCTGCTAGCCCAGACAGCCACACCAGCGCCCTCTGCATTAATCACGTGAGCTAACACAGCCCACATCTAAAGCTGTTCCAAACAACGAAACCAGAAAACAGCACTCAGACTACAGCACTCTGGTTAGCACAGCTGGTTTTCTAATCTCACTAGAAAAAGAAAACATGATCTTCCCTCGCCCTCCACACGCATGATTACTGCCCGAGATCCAGGCTCACTTTCAGCACTATTCCTTACCCACCTTCCTGGTTCTTGGAAAACTCAAACCTCGTCCTGTCTCACGATTCTTCGCAAGCATCAAGCTTCGTCTCAAAGATTATTCTATGCCAAACCCTCTACTAACCCACAGTTCCTGATCTAAATTAGGTCTCCTGTTCTCGCATCAGCATCCACAGAGCCGCAAAAGCACTTCTCCAATGGTAATTCTGTTTGTTATCCCCCATTAGACTACATGTTCCAAGATGCTAAAGATCCTTATTCTTACCACCTCTCACCCCATTCCCTAAACGTCGAACTCCTAGTAAGCACAAATATACTGAATATCTTTCCCTAATAAGCAAAGGGAAAGAGCCTCCTTTCTGGATGGTTTTAAATTCATTCCAGTTCAGTATTTCCTTTCCTGTATTCCAAGGCACAAACACTTCACCACGAGTCTTTGTCTCCCCCATAATAAGACAGAAAATAGCATAGGAAATGACCTAAATATCTCTGTACTATAATCTCCATTTCTCTATTAATTTAGTAATACAATCCTAGCCCCGCTATGCCCTAACCTCCATCCCACGACTAACACCAAAAAAGGGCTAAAAAATAAGCCCACGCTTCCTTCTTCAATACAGGAGACCTCAACTGGCCAATCCTCCCCTTCCAAGCACCAGATCCCATAGGGGCACTAGTTCATGTCCCCGCTGCCCCACTTCCCATCCAGCTCCCTGCCTATGGCCTGGAAAAACAGTAGATGCACCAAAGCCTTGGGGCCCTGCACCCATTTAAGCAGCACCAAGGAGGCTCCAGCTGCAAGGATGAGTTCAAGCTGCTGCGGTCATTTGAAGAGTGAAGCTGCGGATAAACAATTTTGATCTCTCCTTTCCTCTGCAAATCTGCCTTTCAAATAAAAAGGAAACTTTTTTTTTTTTAAGATTTACTTATTTTTATTGCAAAGTCAGATACACATAGAGGAGGAGAGACAGAGAGAAAGATCTTCCATCTCATGATTCACTCCCCAAGTGGCTGCAACGGCTGGAGCTGAGCCAATCTGAAGCCAACAACCCAGAGCCTCTTCTGGGTCTCCCACACAGTTGCAGGGTCCCAAGGCTTTGGGCCGTCCTCGACTGCCTTCCCAGGCCACAAGCAGGGAGCTGGATGGGAAGTGGGGCTGCTTGGATGAGAACCGGTGCCCATATGGGATCCCAGCAGTCAAGGCAAAGACTTTAGCCGATGGGATACCACACCAGGCTATAAAAATAAATCTTAAAAAAAAAAAAAAGAAAGAAAAGAAAAAAGAAACTACAACATAGGGCGAGCACTGCATGCATAGCATGTTAAGCCACAGGCTGTAATCCCCTCCCAGCAGCCCTCAGAAGAGAACCAGGTTCAAGCCCCAGATACTCCATTTTCGATCCAGCTCCCTACTATTGCACCCAAAAAAAGCAGAAGATGACCCACATTCCTGAACCTCTGTCACCCACATGGGAGACCCGAGTGGAGTCTCAGGCTCCTAGTTTCAGCCTGGTCCAACTCTGGCCATTGTGGCCATTTGAGCAGCAAGCCCACAGAGCGAAGATATTTCTCTCTTCCTCCCCTACGCCCCTTTTCTATATAACTCTGCCTTTAAAATAAATAATTTTTTAAAAAAATACAACACAAATGAACTTCTACTGCATATATTAATTTGGAAGCAAACCGTCAAAGCATTCATTTATTCACATGACTTGTATCCAAACATTTACGGTTTTGATCACAAATGTTCCCAACATTTAAACATGATGGAATAGAGGGCTAAAAACGTTACCTTCTTTATATGACTTCAAATGCTCCATGATTAGACCTCATCTAACCTAAAGAAACAATAACACCGTATCAATAAACAAATGAAACCACAGATTCAAAAATGCTAGAATTCAGGTATCAGGAATCTCTTTCTCTAATTCACATTATTGCCAAATATAGATCAATCTGATCAAGAACTAAAAGTCTATGACAATGTTTAACACCAATTTTTCCTTAGATATGTTCCTCACATCTGGCTTAATGCTTTCAAAAACCACAGGGAATTGGGCCCGGCGCGGTGGCGCAAGTGGTTAAAGGTCCTCGCCTTGCACCCCCGGGATCCCATATGGGCGCCAGTTCTAATCCCGGCAGCCCTGCTTCCCTTCCAGCTCCCTGCTTGTGGCCTGGGAAAGCAGTCGAGGACGGCCCAAAGCTTTGGGAACCTGCACCCGTGTGGGAGACCCGGAAGAGGCTCCTGGCTTCGGATCGGCATAGTATCGGCCCGTTGCGCTCACTTGGGGAGTGAATCATCGGACGGAAGATCTTCCTCTCTGTCTCTCCTCTCTGTATATCCGCCTTTCCAATGAAAAAATAATAAAAAAAATAAATCTTTAAAAAAAAAAAAAACCACAGGGAATAGAGTGTACCAAAGAAAATGCTTTCTGCCTTAATAGACAAATTTCATAAGTAAACAGACTACACTATTATTTGCAGGTTTTAATTATCTAGTAAATATTTTTTAGTTCCTTCAGGGACCAGCGCTGTGGTGTTACGAGCAAAGCCTCCGCCAGCAGCGTCAGCATCCCATGTGGGCGCCAGTTAGATTTTTGGCTTCTCCACTTCCATCCAGCTCCCTGCTAACGTGCCAGGCTGATGCAGAAAAGGCCCATGCGGGAAATGCAGAAAAGGCTCCTGGATCCTGGTTTCAGACTGGCCCAGCTCCAACTATTGCAGCCATTTGGGGAATGAACCTTTTAAATACGTACATAAGCCTTTTTCTTTTTCCCCAAGATTTATTTACTTTCATTGGAAAAACAGATTTACAGAAGAGACAGAGAGAGTGACCCAGAGGCTGGAGCTGAGCCAATCCGAACCAAGGAGCTTCTTCTGGGACTCTCAGAGTGCAGGGTCCCAAGGCTTTGGGCCGTCCTCCACTGCTTTCCCAGGCCACAAGCAGGGAGGTGGATGGGAAGTGGAGCTACCGGGATTAAAACCATCGCCCATATGGGATCCTGGCCAACACACTGAGCCATCATGTCGAATCCATAAGTACATAAACCTTTTAAAAATATTAATTTTTTTTCTTTTAAATGGGTTTGAAGTAAAACTTATTCTGTAAGTGTTAATCCAGTTATGCCTTTTATTCAATCCTTCAATGCTTTGAATTCTACTTTTTTCTTTGAATTCCATTACATCCAACAGGATCGTATCTATACCGCTCACATCACATGTTTAAAATCACTCTAATGACAACTACCCTGAACAATGTAACAGTGCTTAAATACACTATCCCATGTTGCAAGCGAATGAGTTGTTTGATCAAACCAGGGTGCTACAGCACACAGCTGCCTAGTGGCAGGCCCAAAGTTTGTACCTAGAATCCACATCCCTTTCATTTTACCGAGCTGCCTCCTATAAAACAGAATGAGGCTAATGAACTAACCATTACGACTCAATCAGCTGAACACTTTTACATGCATGGATTAGAGAAGGGATTAAGGAGTGTCAAACTTATCAAATGTCAACTGATGATGGCAACTGTACACAAGTAAAACACAAAATAAAACAATGGGAAAGTGTAAGAACCAGTTTTTGTTTTACAATTTTGAATATCAGCTCAAATGTTTTGTTTCCGTATTTGTTTAGTCTTTGTTTTGTATCCAAAATAAGAGTCTTGTGCATGTAAATTATATTCAAATGAAACTGTTAAAATAAATGTATTGTTGCTGGGGCCAGTGTTGCGGTGTGCCTCACAATGCTGACACCTGCATCCCTTCTAATGCCAGTGTGTATGTCGCCCGGCTGCTGCACTCCCAGTGCAGTGCTCAGCTCCAGTCACTGGCCCTGCACCAGTGGGAGGCCACAAGAGGCTCCTGGCTCCCAGTTTTGGAACAGCTCAGCTTGGCCGCTGTGGCCATCTTGGGGGGTGACCGGGCAAGATCCAAGACCTCACTGTCTGTTTCTCTCTATAGAAATGTGCCTTTCAAATACAAATAAATAAATGTATGTTTCAATTATCCTAAACTTTACATTTTGTTATTTTGTGGTGGACCCTTACCCACCACATATTTATTAGACAGGATGGAGCTGAGGATTCCAGCTTTGCCTGACTTAGTCCTGGTCATCCGGGGAATGAACCAGCAGTAAGAATCTCTCCTTTCTCTAGTTCTCCATCACTCTACATTTCAAATAAACTGTGTCTAAAAGAGTTTTATGGGCCTGGCGCAATAGTGTAGTGGTTAATGGATCCCTTGAACGCACCAGGATCCCATATGGGCATCGGTTCTAATCCTGTCAGCTCCACTTTCCTTCCAGCTCCCTGCTTGTGGCCTGGGAAAGCAGTGGAGGACGGCACAAAGCCTTGGGACCCTGCACCCGTGTGGGAGATCTGGAAAAGGCTCCTGGTTTTGGATTGGCTCAGCTCCAGCCACTGGGGCTGCTTGGGCAGTGAACCATCTCTGTCTCTCCTCTCTGTACATCTGCCTTTCCAATAAAAATAAATAAATCTTTAAAAAAAAAAAAAAAAACAGGGCCCAGCACCGTGGGCCTAGCGACTAAAGTCCTCACCTTGGAGGCACCTGGATCCCATATGGGCGCCAATTCTAATCCCGGCTGCTCCACTTCCCATCCAGATCCCTGCTTGTGGCCCGGGAAAGCAGTAGAGGATGGCCCAAAGCTTTGGGACCCTGCACCGTGTGGGAGACCCAGAAGTTGTTCCTGGATCCTGGCTTCAGATCGGCATAGCATTGACCATTGCGCTCACTTGGGGAGTGAATCATCGGATGGAAGATCTTCCTCTCTGTTTCTCCTCCTCTCTGTATATCTGACTTTCCAATAAATAAATAAATAAATCTTTAAAAAAAGTTTTCATTTTGGATTTCAAATTTTCAGTTTAGGGATCCTCAATCTTTACCAGGTTAGGGTCAGAAACAATGAAAATAACTCAGAATAACTAAAAGGAAAGGAAAAGAAAAATAAATAAATAAAAATCTCATTTAATCTAAAACTTCACTCGAACTTTTACTTAGTTCTAGAGATCTGGAATCACATCTCATTAATCTTACAATTACTGAGCATAACCAATAATTTAGCAATTTCCCAATTAGTGTTCTGGATACAGCATCAAAAGCCTCACTAAAATGTTCTTCCAACCTACAAGACAAAAAATGATCAGCCCACTAAACAAAACATATCCTTTCTGGCCGACTGCAAGCAAATCCAGTGGGTGTCGAAATGTGGAATAAATGGTCTCTACCAGTACTTTGATTTTGACACGGACTCATTCTGGGAGGTGCACAGCTCCATATTTTAATATTATTACTCCCTACCTGACCACATGATTGTTTAAATAGAATGAATATAAAATAACTTCAACATAATAAGAAGGAAGGGTTTCAAAAAAAAAAATAACAAAATCCAAAATTTTAGTTTCATAGTATTTACAGTGTTAAATCCAGACAAGGTATTATCTTGGTGACTATGACCTAGATAAACAGTGCTCTAAACAAAACTGGGAAATACATACTTACATTCAAAACATTATAAACAAGTGTGTCTGTAATTCTATTCACAATGGCCAGTCTAAATGCGTGCCTAGAGGGAAGCTGATGGGGCTGTGGCACAGCAGCTGTGCTGCCAGCCTCCCACATGGATGCCAGCTTGTGTCCCAGCTGCTGCACCTCTCCCTGCTACTCCCTGCCAGGGAAAGGCACAAGATGGCACCACCACGTGACCTCGGCCGCCCAAGTGAGAGAAGACCTTCCTGGCTCAACACGGCCCACTGCAGCCATCTTGGAGAAATGAACGACAGACAGAACATATCTCCTCTCCCTCCCCATAACTACACAAATAAATCTTGAAAAAGAAACAAGCTTAGGGCCCAGCACAGTGGTGTACCAGACTACTCCTTGGGCCATAGCATAATCCCATATGGACCCTGGGATAGTGTTCAGGCTACTGCATTTGTGTATCTCCTGCTCTTCTATCAAAAAAAAAATCTGCATTTCAAATTTAAAAAAATAAATTTTTAATGTAAAGTATACTGCAACAGCAACAATGAATCTTTTCCAACTTTCTAAGAAGTTGTAAAAATTCTAATTCTACTAAATTTATATTTTCAAAACATTATAATTTTGTGTGGTAGCCTAGTGGCGAAGGTCCTTGTCTTGCATGCACCAGGATCCCATACAGGCGCCAGTTCATGTCCCAGCTGCTTCCCATCTAGCTCCCTTGCTTGTGGCCTGGGAAATCAGTCGAGGAACGCCCATAGCCTTGGGACCCTACACCCAAGTGGTAAACCCTTTAGAAATTCCTCCCGGCTTCAGATTGGTTCAGCTCCGGCCATTGTGGCCACTTGGGGAGTGAACCAACGCACAGATGATCTTTCTCTATGTCTCTCCTCCCTGTAAATCTGACTCTCCAATAAAATAAATAGACATTATAATTTTAACATTAGCTTTAAAAATCAGAATCATAAACACTTAACGATATATAAACATCTAGGCCAATTTACAAACTTACAAAACCAAATCTAATCTTCAAATCTACTAGGAGTGTTAGGGGAAAAAAGTAGTCAATACAGGAGCTGGTGGTATGGCATAATAACGTCCACAGAGGTACCAGTTCAGCAGTGACTGCCCCACTTGCCATCCAGCTCCCTGCTATTGCACGGGCAGAGCAGCAGAAGATGGTCAAGGGTCGGGGATGGGGTGCCCTGTGGGAGACCTGGATGCAGCCCCTGGTTCCTGCTCTGGCCTGGTCCATCCCTGGGGAATGAGCCTACACAAGGGAATATGGGCCTCTCCGGCTCCCTGTAACTGATTTTCAAATAAATACACCTTCCAAAACACATTACATCCCAAAATATGCAAAAAAAAAGAGTAGTATGTTCTGAACTCTGTAACCCAGCTGTCGCCACAACCCGTCTGCTCTAACCGTGGCATACTGTGCAGGAGAGCATGGCGACCCTCGTGCCACTTCTACTGAACTAGGAGAATCCCAAATTACGAGGTGTCTACTGCACCATGATCCAAGCGTAAAAAGCCTGCACCACT